AAACTAAGGCTCTGATACCAACTTGTAACACCCTCATTTTTTCTTCAAGAGAGTCGTTACATAATCTAAAACATTTTCCTTAATGGATAAGCCAAATTAGTGGCTAAATTAAAACCATTTAAACTATTACAGCGGAAGTCTTTGAATCATCCAAATTTAACTTAAGTTCTAACCCACTTTCTCTTGGGGTTAAGTTACAAAAGATCATTACAGCGCAACTAGTCAAAAGACTGTAAAATAGATAAAAATGAGCAACTCTCTAAGCATGTCCTTTGCCTTTATCCGTCCTTGAACTACCTGGGCCTGAGATGCATACTATAGTCAGCTTATAAAGCTCAGTGAGTTCATGGTTTTCGTATGTAAAGATTATTGCACATCGCACATTTCAACTTGTAAACTTTRTATTAAATAACATGCATTTTCTGATAAACACGTTATACTGAACAAGAATGAGATCTCCCGATTTGATTGTCGGGTATGAGTTGTTTACAAACTGGCATTCCCTGAATTGTCCGGCCAGCATCTGCCTGAACACTCATTACGGGGTCGTGCCACTTGTTGTGTGTGAGTCATTTAGTCACTGGCATTCCCTGAGTTGTCCGGCCTACATCCGCCTAGACACTCATTACGGGGTCGTGCCACTTGTCATGTGTGAGTCATTTAGTCACTGACATTCCCTGAGTTGTCCGGCCTGCATCCGCCTAGACACTCATTACGGGGTCGTGCCACTTGTCATGTGACTTTCTAGTCAAATGCTCACCCGCTAAAACTGGTCATAAACTTTTATCATGGAATAGCATGCTAGAGTTATTCGAAAACTGATTAAACACATAGCATGCAACTGATCATAAAAACGTCATACATGTAAAAACATATCATGTATGTAAACTGAAACATCATGCACTTGTACCATCATCATATAAATCGTATAGTGCTTGAAAATATATTTATACATAGGTATGCATCCCATTGTAAGTCTCATGAAGACTCACCTGGTAACGTCGATTGCTTACTTAACGGTGCTGACTGGTAACCTACAATTTATAATAGCGAATAGTACATAAATAATAAATTTCTCCATGGACTATAAAAGTCAACTTACGGTCAACTGTGTCGACTAGGGTTATCATTGGTCAACTATTCGCTTGTTATTTAAGTCTTATCAAGCCATCGGGGCTAAGGATGAAACTCTAAGGCTGCCTCTGTGCTAAGTCTTGGAAAGGGCCAGAGCCTCTGTGGTGTCGACCAGAGCCTCTGTGGTATCAACCAGAGCTTCTGTGGTCTCTTTCTTCCAGAGCTTCTGGTCTCACGACCAGAGCCTCTGTGGTATTTACCAGAGCCTTTGTGGTTGAGCCTTGGGAAATAATTCGGTACCAAGGACCAGAGCCCCTCTGTCGTCTCTCTTACAGAGCTTCTGGCTGAACCATACTTAGAATAATAATACCATACCAAGGGCCAGAGCCCCTCTGTGGTCCCTCCTCCAGAGCTTCTGTCTAACATAACTTGATACAGAGCTCTCACGCAGAGTTTCACTATAACATAACTTGATACGAAGCTCTCATGCAGAGCTTCTGTGGCTAACATGACAGAAAGCTCTCACGCAGAGCTTCTGTCTAACGCATTTGATAGAGCTCTCGTGCAGAGCTTCTGTGTAACATTCTATAAGGTGGCTTCTAAGCATAATGCAATACAGCGTGTTTAACAAATGAAATCTAATCCTTGAAATCGAATCTCAAAACACAAAGTTTGGACGTGAGCCTTCTAGGGTTCTATACAGGGCCAAAGTCACAGCTAAACATTGTTTAAATCATAAATTTGGTCGAGTATTTACCTCTAAACGACGGGAAGCAGGGGGTTTCTTGCTGGTATGAACTCCGGCTTCTCTCTTTCAAGCTCAACGATTCCCTTCTTCTCTCAAAAGAATAACGACCTTAACTTGGTGCCCTCAATTTATACTCACACGATTTGGCCTATTAGTTGACCAAATCGGCAGAATCCCGAGTTTTGGGCTGGGAACTGCTCTCTTCTACAGCATGCAACCATGCAGGTCACAGTTTCCTCTAATGAATCAGGCACCGCCTGATCCTCTGCTGCTTCTCCCTAGTTGGCAGCAGGCTCCCCCTCGAATTGGAGCCTTCAGCGTCAGTCGTAAACAAATTTGACTTATTTCAAATTTCTAACTTTTATTTAACATATATATATATATATATATATTCATAAATAAAATAGAAATAATAATAAAGATGCCTTATTTTATTCCTCGAAATTTTGGGTTTTACAAAAATCATTTTAAAACACTTATTGAAACGTCCAAAAACATTCTATAAACCTATTGTAACCTTTTTAGATAGAACGTCTTATAGTATGGTCTATAAACTTAAGTTTTATGAATTATTTCATTCGTCAAATTTTATGCAACTACTAACCCGTCAATCCAACCTAACCCGTCTGATCAACCTGCAAGGGTTGGGTTATACTTTTGAATGAGTTAGGTTAGGTTGAGATTTATTCGAACCGCCATAATTAGGTTAAGTTGTAAAAATGTTGTAAATCACCTAACCCAATTCGGGTACAGCCCTAGAACCTAGCTCATTAATCATATAGAGAGAGCGAGACGAAGGGGTTGTTTACCAAACGCTTACTCGAGTAAGTGAACATCAAGTTACATTACCTTATCGGATGAATATGGTAAAGACCAAAAATCTTACCCGATAAGTGAAGACGACGACTCTTACCATGGTAAGCGCTTACCAGGTAAATTGTTGTGTAAGATACAGTTTTAGTAGACTAAAATCTTACCCGGTAAATAAATGATAGTGTTAAATTTACCAATAAGCACTTACCGAGTAAGTGTTTGATAAACGACCCCGAAATTTCAATTTTTAAATTAAATAAGTCATTATTTCTTTCAAAGACGCAAAAGAAAAAAATAAACATGAGGGTTTATTTGAATTAAATAAATTAAGGGGCTTGGTAAATGGTTAATTTAATTGTGGTTCCCCATTAATTCCTTCTTGTGATTCAAAGACAAAAGGTCAACTTTAGAATTTAAACTCCACGTGTGATGTCGATAAAAAAACGAGTATTTGATACTTTCAAAATCGATATTATATAAATTAGTATTTATATAATTATTTCATTTACTACCCAAGTAAAACTTTTTTACAGATTTATTTGACGAAACAGTCGTTGAAAAATTCTTATATTTTTTTAATTTCCTAATTTTAACGTGGTATTATTAACAAACAACGTAGAACTTTCGATATAGCAGCTAATAATATAGTAATCTCATCATTTTTGTACTGTTATCCATATTGAATATGTATCATTACCATTGCCTTCAGTCTCACTAAGGCAGAGCCGTCCGTTAGCATGTTAAATGTGAGATTTTAAATAGGGCCTTCAAAATTTTGGGGCTCAAATTTACACTTGATCAGGGTCTTTTATCGACCTGTGTAAAACTATAGTCAAAATTATTTAGGTTCAAACCATTAATTGTTTAGTTTTAGGTTCAAAACATTAATGGTTTAGCTTTAGCTTCAGATTGTTATTCGTTTTATGTTTAACCCATTTTTGTTCTTAACATATATTCTATTTTATCTCATTTTATGCAATGTAATCAAAAGTTTTGGATGTAGCAGAGCTTCCAAAAAGATTGGAACGTCCCTGACTAAGGCCTTGCCGATTGTTTTCATGTTTGATTCAAAGGAACTGTAGTTAGAAGATCGTTGAGCTTCGGCAATGGCGTGACACCAAAAAGATCTAGAGGAGCGTGTTAACTCTATTTGTTCGTGATCGAGTTATTAGCAGTTTTATTTCAATTTTACTGTTGGCCATCGAGTTCAAGTTGAGGCATTTAGGTTAGAGTTTTTTTTGGGTCTAAAAACAGTTAATATGATCAAATTTACGTAATCATCAACTCAACTCAGTCAATACTTTCATTATCTTCCATCTTTATTTATGCGGCCAATAGAAAAATGATCTAACTTATTTTATCTATTTGTCAAAAACTCCTTTTGCAAAATGCATTTTTACGACATGATACTGTCTCTAGCTTTATAATGGTCCAAAATCATATAGGAAACAGACATGCCAACGAGTTTTGATGTATTTAAGTACAATTAAAAGGAAGGGTGAGTAGGCACCAAAAAACGGTTTTTCTAAAACCGACAACAAAAGTTAATACTAGATTAATGTCTGATTCCGATACATACTTAAAATATATGGCTTAAAACCAAATAAGCAAAGACGAGAATGGGTGGATGAACGAAGTCCCTTTTAAAAGCTAAAAAGGTTTGTGGGTGTAAAAGAAAATTGTTGGTTTTCTCTTTAAATAAATATGATAATAACGTTTTAAAGTATGTTTATATTTATGCAAATATAATATATTTAAAAAGAATATAATAATTATAAATAATATATTTTTTTGTTAACCTGGATATCTAAACTCGTTATGTGAGTCAACTAATCTCAGGACGATCGTTGCATTTGAACCTCCATGGTCACAAGGAGATTTTTATTCCTCATTAGATTTGAACCTGGGACCTTCAGGTACTTTTGAACTTTGAAGCTTTAAGCTCAAACTAATCAGACATCATAGATGTGACTATTATGAATAATATTTGGTTGGAGATGATAAATATCTTAGAATAGGAAAGAGAAATGTTTGGTAGAGATTTATGGATGACAACTCTTTTTTAGCATGAAAATGTGAAGGACCTTATTATTGCCCATGCTTTTCTGTCACGAGATTTCTATTGTTGTGACTAGAACACTCAAGACAATCATGAGATATCATTTTTAATATTAAAACCACTAAATTTAATTTAATTAAATTATAATAAATTCACCAATTAATTTACAATAAACATACAAATCCACACACTGTATTACATAACAAAATGTAATATTTATGACACTCGTCTTGATATAAATGTGGTTTAAGAGACTAAATTCCAAAATAAATAAAAATTGAAAAAAAACATATTTATATATTTAAATTAATATTGCCATGACGAGGCATCGAAGAAAAAGCTGCCAACACTTCCGGAAAAGGACGGTGTTACATACGACGGCTCTCCGCCTAGATAACCACCGTCACCGTCACCGTCACCGTCCTCCGCCCATGGTGGTGGCGATGAGTAGTAGTCCCAACCTGAATCTACGAAAACGAAATCCACCGAGTGATCAAAACCCTCTCCAACACTCGGAAGCTCAACTATCTCGCTCAGCTCTTCCGACTGTGGCTTCCACATTGACACCTCCTCCAACATCATCGACGACGTCGCGGAGCAAGTGGAGGTGGCCGACGTGGAGGGTGTACACCGTGGAGTGGCGGTTGTAGTATGGTTGAGGTGGACCATGGAGGCAGCTTTGGTGGCCGCAGCCTGGATATCACATGGAGAGCAGGAAACGGGTCGGGGCAAAAGGTCTGAAAGTTCTGGGAAGTTAAGAATGGCCGACTTGCCTTTGATGGATAGTGCAGCAACATCGTGTGCACGTGCGGCCATTTCCGGGTCGGAGAAGGTTCCAAGCCAGATTCGAGATTTCTTCTTGGGTTCTCGGATCTCGGATACCCATTTACCCCATGCCCGTTTCCTAACACCTCTGTAAACCGGATGCTTACTATTGGTTTTGGTGGCTTTGCTACTACGGCTATTGCCATCATCATCTTCTGCATACTTTCTGCTCCGGTTGACCCATTTCCTATTCGGATCCTTTAAACCCGTTTCTTTAGACAATGGGTCGGATATCGTGGTGGTGGTGGACTCAGTCTCCGAGTTCAGGGCCTCCGCCATTGAAGGTTAATCAGTGTGCAAATAGCTACTGTTGAAGAAATCTTGATATGGAACCAAAGAGAATAGTAGATTTAGTTAGAGAGTGAGCGTACGTTGAAAGTGGTGTGTGATGAAATACTTGAAGTCTAAATGCACCCACAAGTGTTATGAGTGTGTATATATATATATATATAGATAGATAGATATAGAGAGAGAAAGTTGGAAGAGAGATCACACGGACAGAGGGGACATGAAAATGGATGAAAAAGATTACCTTGCAATACAATTTACTTCAATAAAACACCGAAGTGAAAATGTAATAGAATCGGGGTATATATATATATATGCATAATTAAATTAGAACTAATTAGTTTGTAATAATCATGAGGTCCAATCTCAATCATAAATCAATAAATAAATTATGAAATTTATAATTTTGATAATTTTAAATTAAAATTTTAATACAAGGACATTTTAGGTATTTTAAAACTTTCATCGCTCCTCTCTCTGTCCCTATCCTCCAGTGATACCACAGTGGTATCACAACGCATCTTATATGTGATTGGGTATCACACTAAGGTTGTTTGTGTGGTCGATCAAAAATGTAACACAGTGTATCACAATGCATTTTATATGTGTTTGGGTATCACAATATGTCTTTTGTTTAACAGAGTCAATAGTTTTAGATATCACAGTGGTATCGCCGGAGGATGGAGAACAGGGGACGGAGAGAGGAGAGATGAGAGAAAATACCTAAAATATATTTGTATTAAAATTTTAATTCAAAATTATCAAAATTATAAATTTTCTAATTTATCTATTGATTTGTAGTTGATATTGGATCTCACAGTTAGCATAAACTAGTCAGTTCTCCCTTGAATGAGTCTATATATATATATATATATATATATATATAAACTTGGGATCATGTGAGACCAAAGGTTTTTCGTGAGACCCGTAAGACGAATTCTCAACCCTTAGATTAGATCTACAATCTGAACATTCATAATCATAAAATTGTCACGAGACTTCTTAATAATCACAAAATTGTCACCGTGCAACCTTAGACCATTAATCATTAGCTTATAAAGTTGATCAATGAACATAAATTGGTCTTATAGGTCTCATGAAAAACCCTTGGTATCATGTGAACTCAACCATATATATATATATATAAAAGTATCAGTTATATTATTAAAATATTTAATAAAATATCTGGTTTCGAAACTTTTTATTGATGAAAGTAAAAAGAAATACAAACTTTCTCTTCTAAATAATAATTAACAGGAATTCACTAAATTTGAAAACGTTATCATCAAATCTTTTATATGTTTTTTATTTTAAATAAAATCAATTAAAAATGGTTTAAACAAATTTAATATATTATATATTTTTTAGTCATTTTGGTAAAATTCCCTTTAAATCAATCTATAAATTATAAATCAAATATTTTGAATTGGAATAAGAACAAAAGTGAAGAGGGTATTAAAAATTGTAGTTTCGATTTTTATTGATCGTACGAATTTCTGGTACATATGTTTTTTTTTTCATACCCAACGACTATAAGGACAAGTTCGTAATTTCTAAACATATGATTTATAAAAAATAAAAAATAAAAATATATTTACTACTATTATTATTATTATTATTATGAGATATTTTTGATAAAAATTATTGCACCGTCATGGGACGTAGGGACTAGTGATTTACCAACTTTTTGTTTTATGTATATCATGTTACGCTATAATTTTAATGTGTGATATAATTGTACGAACTAAAATCAAACAAATCTAAAGATCTGAAAGTAAGGTAATGTAATGGAACAGGAATCTGGGTATATATATTATTGCATACATTTTAATACGTTATAACTATTTTGTTATTTTACATTACAAGAGACGTTTAACCACAATTAGCTTCCAACACAAAACCCTCTGAGTTTTTTTTTTACCTCTTAATTATCATTTATGGTTGACAAGTTCATATGTTTTGTAATTCAAATTGTTTTTTTTTCACAGTCTCTTATTACTTAATAGAGTCTGAATAAATAAGGGGTAAACTAATATCTTAATTTTTCCACCAAGAACGTCGCCGTCTTTTCATCACCCATGTAAAATGCACGCTCCCATCTTATCTCTCTCTCTCTCTCTCTCTCTCTCCCTATATATATATATATATATATTCTGTACGTATAAGTTAACTTAAAAGATTAATGTGAAAACCAAGTACATATAGATCACGGTGTTCATGTTTTCCAAACCGAGTTAGAAGCAAAATCTTTATTCCTTTTCGTCGTATTCAAAATTAAAAATTATTGGACTTTGAGAATTGAAAAAGTGCATGCATTATTTTGTTGTTGGTTGTGAGATGTATATATAATAATAATAAGGTGATTTTGGGATCTCAAGGCATGAAAGTATGGTCATTAATTGAAATTAGGGTTGTATGGGTGGCCTCATATCAATGTACCAAAACCATGAGCTGTATAATAAATAATAGGCCAGGTACAATTATACAGAAGTTACACATGTTTTGTATGCATAATACATGCATATGATATGCTCTCTCCATATTTTACTCCTTAATCTTGAACTTAAATCTTATGGGTGTATGGTTTGAGTTTGGTTTCAAAGGTCAAAAATACCAGTAGGTTTCAGTTTCAAATCCAATGAGAAATAAAAATCTCCTTATGGCTCAGATGTTCAAATGCGGTGACTACGGGATATCTGCAAAGCAGATGGTCGCCTTGGGATTAGTCGGCTCACATAGCGGGTTGGATATCCAGGTTAATGAAAAAAAATCTTATGGGTGTGTTAACTTATGACTCTATATTTTGTAATGTTGTTGAAAAATAATGATATAATAGTAAAATGTAGATGATATAATAATGTGGTACCATAAAATTTGGATTTTGAGATGTTTTTATTGAATAATTATAAAAATTTATGTATATAAAATTAATATGAAAATATTTTTTGATACATGGAATGGGATGGTATGGGATATAGGGTAGATGGAAAATAAATTGTATTATATTTGAGAAAGCATAGATATAAAACAAGTTTGAGACAAATATGATTTTCTCATTTACCAAAAAGACTTTGGAACTCTTTGATGAAGACAAACTTACATTAATTCTCTCTCTCTTTCTCTTGCATTTTATATATATATATATATATATATATATATATATATATATATATATATTTATTTATTTATTTATTTATTTATTTATTGATGAAGACAAATTTACACTGATTCTCACTCTATCACACACATGGTAAAAAAACTGGTCTCATGGATGTCATGAAAACAGTTTGTTTCACGTGATACCACATGTATATATATATATATATAGAGAGAGAGAGAGAGAGAGAGAGAGAAAGAGAGGAGCGATCAAATGCAAACCACCCAATTTGTACAAACCGTGCAAATCACCCTCATCCGTCGATTTCATTGTTTAATCTTATAAAAAAAATCATGAAATTGTTTAATCTTGTGAAATTGTTTCATATAATACTTTTATTTTGATGAAGTTGTTTCATATATGGTTATGAATTTGTTTCATATAATACTTAATGAAATTTTAATAAAACTGATTCATGTATTTCTCTAAAATTAAAATAATGAAGATGATAATATCCATGATTAACACCCTCCACAATAAAAATGATTAATCAACCTCTCATAATTTAAAAAAAAATGAACAAAATGAAAAATTATGATTGGTTGAATGAGGTTTATACGGTTTGTACAAATAACATGGTTTGCAAAGTAAATCTCCTATATATATATATACATATATATATATATATATATGTGTGTGTGTGTGTGTGTGTGTGTTGGTTGGGGTTGGAGGAAGATCCTGGGCATGCGGGATAAAATAATAGACTTCGTTGTCTCTCAGATTGGCAATGATACTTCCATGTTTGATTGATTTGATAACTGGCACCATGTTGGCCCCCTTTGCCAACTTATTACCCCTTGCAATATCCTTAATGTGAATATTTCCCTTGATGCTCGTATCAAGAATATTATATGTAATAATCATTGGATCTGCCCCCAACTGCGGGATAGTTCCAATCCCATCCTTCGTGATCATCCCCCCTATTTTATCCCCCTTCGTCCCTGACAAACTTCTCTGGAGAAATAGGGATGATCGACTTGCCCCTTTCTCAGTTCATGATGTCTGACTTTCCTTATATCTTAATGAACCTGATACCGAGTGGCACCACATGGTCTGGTTCTCACAGAATATTCCCAGACATGCTTTCGTTATTTGGATTGCCATGAAGCAACGTCTTAAGACACATAGTAAACTTCGATTTTGGGAAGCCTTTCCTAATATGTCTTGTTGGTTTTGTCAAAACGGATCTGATTCTCATTATCATCTTTTCTTTGAGTGCATGTTCCCCAATCAGGTTTCGAATAGTCTTAAGCCCAAACTAAACCTTTCAGCTGTCTCGGACAATTGGACTGACATCATTAGAGACTTCCAGAAAGCCACCAAAGGCAAGACCATTTGGTCAATTATTCGCAGATTAGTGCTTGTTGGGACTGTCTACCACCTTTGGTAGGAAAGAAATGATTAAATCATCAATAATAAGAGAAGATCTTATGACATTATGGTCAAGACCATCTCTGATGATGTGCGGTCTAGGCTTCTTAGCCTGACCCTTAAGCCTTTCCCGAATATAGTCCGAGCTAGGCTTGTTTGGAGTCTTCCCTAGTGGTTGGTCTTTCTCTTCTCTTCTCCTC